CACAGCAGTGGAGCAGATGCAACAAAATACTAAATCAGGGCAGCTCATTTCTGGACAACGTCTGTCTGTCCTTCCTGTCTACTCCTCATTCTCAGTTTCTTTTTTTTATTTTTATCATTTATATCGCCTTGTGCCAAATGTGTTTTTATTGGTCTCACACACAGCTGCATATCACTTAAGGGTTTATATCACTTAAATGCCATCTGTTCATTGTATTCTTGATTTCACTGTACACTGTAATATTCCTGTAAGAAGCATTGTGAAACACTGACATCCTGTGTCTTGACAGGGACTAGCACTCTCCTGGCCCCAAAGATTCCTTACCATTTATCATCTAAATACTGTAGAACTAGCAGGTTGGTTTCTAAAATGCACAACAATTTAAACACTGACCATCCAAATTGTCATAGACCGTTGTGTGTTTAACAAAGGCCACATCTCCGAGGTTTTCAGCCACACATCTGAAAGAAAAACATTAACTACATTAATAATCAAACACATTTAATCAATAAATACATCAAAACATAATAAAGTGGAAATCAGTGGACTCTGTAATGTTATTGTAACAGTATGACTTTGGAGACTGTGAGTAAAATTAAAAAATTAAAAATGGCTCCTATATCCTTTGTTTTTGTTTGGTACCATGTAAAGTAATTTATTCCTTCTATAGACTGTATTATTATTCATATCATCTTGTATTCTTTCAGAACAGGCAGCTCTAATTACAATACTCAATAGTTTTATTTTATGGTGACACTGGCTGTGGTCATAAAAACCATCGCCTCTGGGTGCCATTATTGCATTCTTCTCCACGTTGTTAGTATCAGTGTTGCACCTCAGAGCCCCTGCCTCTCCGTAGTGCCTCTCTCTGTGGTTGTTGGCACAGATATGTCTGTCGTTCTCATCTCCTATACAGGCCTCACACAGATTCTTGGGGTTGTTGCCTCTGGGGTCGTGCTGGGGGTCTTTGACACCTGGCACACAGCTGTAACCAAAGAAGTTCCCAACCGCTGGTGAAAAAAGACAAGAATAAGTTAGAGGATGAATAAAAATGGCAAAAGGAATATCACTGTATTTTAATTAAAAAGTCAACTGTCCAAGTTACAACCTCTCCTGCAAACCTTAAATTCATATTTCACTAGTATCAGTTCTGTTCAGGTGTGTAGTTTCAATAACACAAGTGAAACTATGATTAGTTCTACAGCTGAAACAATTAGATGATTAGTTGATTAATACAAAATATATCAGAAACAATTTAATGGTTGAAGTCTTTTTTCTATTTGATGAGAATTTGATGTTTTTCTTAGTCTTATGTGACAGTAAACTGAATATCTGTAAAATTTGCACTGTAGGCTGAAGAAAAAAGTAATTTACTAAATGTAAAGTAGAGTAAAACATCTTGGCTTTAGGGAATTGTAACAGACATTCTTTAAATAATTTCTTTAGTTAAATCAAATGATTAGGGATCACTTGTCAGTAAAATATACACCTTTGTATCTGTAAAGGTAAATTACCATTTGAACATTTTAAAAACTACACACCTACAATGAAACAAAAATACTTTTTGTCAGCTTTTTGTGTTAACCTGAATATTTTGTTGACGTATTGACGTGTGACATGGATACTGTACAATCACACTTCAGACAATCAGTTAATTGTTGGTTTTAGTCTATTCATGCGACCTGTAGAAAAAGTTGTAAAAAGAGCTCTTCTTCAGTATCAAGCCTCCTTCTTTTTTCTCCTGAAGAAGTAATGAGCTTCCAGTGTTTCCTTCTACTCGTCATTACAACCCCACATGCACACACACTCCTCACATTTACAGAGAATGATGCTCTGTTCTCTAACTGGCTCTTCTCCTCTTACCTCCAGTCTCCTCCATCCCTTCACCTCTTTGTTCTACATCACTGCTTCCCTCCCTCCTTCTTCTGAAATTCTCATGCTTCTCTACCTCCACACACACATACACGTACATTCTTATATTCACACATGCACTAGTTAGTCTGTCCCCTCCCCCTTTGTCCAACTCTCTCTCACCTCTGGGGAAGTTGCACTGCTCCCCTACACTGATTTGGGAGGTGTTGACCAGGTAGCCAATAGGGACAGTCCACCCCACTGTGGTACGTATGCCAGGGTGACAGGAGCTACGCTCATGCATCTCCAGCAGGGACAAGTCTGAGGAGGAGCGACGTGCTATCACCACCACGTAGTAGTTAATACCATCTGGAAGGAGGGTTTAGGAAAAGAAACAGGGAGCAAGCATGAGGGAATCATTTTACAAACCAGGAGTAAGAAAAAACAAGAACCTAAAATACAATAACATATATACATATATATTATCTGAGGCTCAAGTGCCTTCAAACCTGTGACTTACCGACTCCATTGTGGGACTCCCCTGCAGCCAGCTCCAGGCCATGGCACAGGCCAGCAGCATAAATGTCATCTGCAAACATGGAGGCTGCATCTGCTGTCCCATTCTGAGAAAAACACCTTTATATTGTCAATGTCAAACAAGTAAAGGATGCATGGAAAGAATCTATCTATCTATCTATCTATCTATCTATCTATCTATCTATCTATCTATCTATCTATCTATCTATCTATCTATCTATCTATCTATCTATCTATCTATCTATCTATCTATCTATCTATCTATCTATCTATCTATCTGTCTGTCTATCTGTCTATCTATCTATCTATCTATCTATCCATCCATACTATATTTTGTAATACAGATTGAACAGTCCATTCTCCCTTCCCTGTTTCTTCTGATACCTTGATTTTCTCCATACAGTCTCTGGTGTTCAGTCCGCGAACACATTGCAGCGCTCCTCTAACATTCCGAACTGTGGCATTCCCTGCCAAATCCAGACACTTTTGTTCTTCAGCATCAGACAATACACACCAGGAAACTGAGCAAAACAGCGAGAAAGTGATAAAAGTCAAAGTTAAATACAAATATTCCTGTAGAAAAGCATATACTTAACCATTTAAAACATTGTTAATGTTATTTTGGCACATGAACATAAATTATAGTTGATCAGAGATCTGTTTATCATAATCTACCTGTATGTTTTTGATTGGAGACACAGCTGACAGACAAAAGAGGCAGAAGAAGGAGAAAAGCTACAGGCCATCTTCTCTCAGGACGTTCCATATTGGATCTGGTAGGAAACCTGCTTGGGACAATCTAATACAACAGAGACAAAGAGCAGGTAGATTTCATTGAAAAAAGTCACTCAGCTGCCCCCTCGCTCTCTTATAGGCTGGTCCTGAAGCAGAGAGAACAAGGGGGAGAGAGGGTAAAATGTGGGAGAATGAGGCAGGCAGGCTGGATGCAGAAAGAAGATAACATTATTCCTCCATCCCTACTTCTTAAGTTAAAGTCCTCAGTAGATAATCCTTCCTCCATCTCATGATAGTAGTATAACATTTCCCCATCCAATTATCCACTGAGACTTATCCCCAGTAGAGAGGACAGTGGTAGACACATGTAGGCTTGGAGCAGTTCAGGTCAGCTGGCACAGAGTATTGACCTGGGGGTCTTTAATTAAAAAAGCTGCAGACAATGTGTCTCTGTGCTGGACCTGTGGTGGTAGAGTATAGATACCAGCTTGGGCTTGCTCCAGCTCACTGGAGACTAAAGCCCCAGCTAAGCAAGAACAAACAGCATGGGCTATTGTTCGTGGCCACAGGAATGAGTGGAGGGAAAACCTATCATCTACTTGATACAGTTCTCCCTGTAAAGCAAACACACAATTCTGTGACATTTTTCTGAACAGCCTTTGAGCCAACCTAGAATTAAATAAATCTTAATAGGTAAGAAGTAAAATTAATGTATCTCCCTATATACTTTTCAATTGCACTGTTATGCAATTTCAGATGTGCATGATTGCTTGGGAAATGAAAGGTCATGTTGGTTTACATGCAGCTTTTACACAAAAAGACAGGGAGAACTCTTTATGTAGGGAAGGGAGTGGTATCTGATCCTCAGCATGGGTGAGGGAACAAGAGGCCATTTTAAAAGCAAAGTATTCTGAATGAAATATGTACTTTTCTTTGAACTCCAGAGAGCATAGGTTGGGTTTTGCTCACGGAAACTGTTACTCACATGCAATAAGCCACTCATATCTTGATGTATCTTGTCTTGTAATCACTTGAGAAGATGATGCTTTAAACAGTAGTCACTCTCAGTAAATAAGTGGTATGTGTTGTGTGAAAAGCACAATTGCAATTTTTGTGTTATTTTTCTATTTTTACAAGGACAAGGCATGTAATGATCAACATTACTGTATTGAAATGTGCCATTGTTCCATCCAAATCTATTTTCTTCTAGCCAAATGCTAAATTAGCCATTAAAACAAAAATAAAACAATAACATGTAAAATAATGACAAATACATGAACAGAGGATATATAGACTAAAGCTAAAAAATAAACATGGCAACAACATGTAAAGCAGACAATAATAAGCTTTTCGGTATTAAATTGTAAAGTTTCTTAATCTTTTATGATGTTAGGTGCACTTTGATTAACTTTTGTGATGTGTTTTTATCTTGTGTTTTGTATGTAAAATCTTGATCTGAAAAGTACTACAGTTACAGTTACAGTAAATAGGCTGTATGTAGTGAGACCAAGAAGGAAAATATTTCCCTGCGGAGTTTAGTGGAGTAGCATAAAGTTAAAATACACACGCAAAGTACAAGCAATCTTGAAAATGTAGGCTACTTAGAAAGTAGTACATTAACTGTCAGACCATATTAGATTACAGGTCATAGTAATTTTGTCTCTTTCATTTGATTGTTTCTATGTATGTTGGGTGGGTGGTTTCTTTTATATAAAGTCCATGCGTATACAGTCCTCGAGTAAACGTTTTGTTCCTAATGACGTTTCATATAGATATTATTTGTTATTCCCACGTAATACTTATATTAAAATCCCTGTTATGGTGATTTTTGCATACAATTTGTTGGAAGACTCCTCCGTCCCACAATGCATCTCGATGATTGTGTTTTGATGACGTCATTGTAACTGGAGCAGAAAATACCAGTAGGAGGGTTGGGCAGTGGTCTTGCTTTTAGCTTGTTACATCGCAAGTCACACCTGTAATATTGCTTAACTTTAAACTACGCAAACACAAACATTACAGAATGATTTAGAGGCTGTACTTCGTGTGTGCTGGGTAAGTTCATGTTTTTTTTTTATCACTAATTTCGGCAGCCCTCGCCCTCTTGCCGGGCTAGGCTTTGTGGTATACAGCTAGCTTAGCTTGTAGGGCTAACAGCAGCAGCATTGGGCAGCCGTCTATCTCTTACTGGCGTCTTCGAGGCGCCTGTAGACGGCTAATAAAACCGCTTGTTAATAGTCAATTAGCTACAGCAAACAACCAGGCCTCCAGTCTGAGGTTTACTAAAAGGGAGTTGCTGATAGCATTGCTTGTTATAGCCTTTACGTCAAAACCAGAGGCTATGACATTGAAATTTATAGTGTTAACTTGCTAGCTATTGTTAGTTGTTGTCAATGCTGCATAAACGGTTAGCCCGCAGAAGAACAGCTACAATAAAACCAGTGTTACTTTAAAGCCATTAGTAGTGATTAGCTTGTTAATCAACAACTTATGAGCTACCATGATGGTATTACGTCCAAGTAAATAATTAAACTTTTTATACAATTAGTTTAAGTACATTCTTTTTTGTTGTCGTTGAAATGGCTGTAGTTTGTTTCAAAATCAGTGACGTTTATTAACTGAGCCTTTCACAAAGACGGAGGACTACGTCTATTACAAGGTGTAGCTTTCTTTGTGTTTGAAGCCTTGGCATGGATCATCACAAAACATACAAGGTGGTAAATGTAATGATCCTCTCTTCACAAGTGTTTTCATTTGAAATCTCCCTGGTTCCCCTTCCCTTCTTCCCTCTGTCAGTGCACTGAAACATGGGTCATTGCAGTGTCCACATCCTCCTGCTGCTGCTCTTGTTGCAGAGTCTGCAGGCATCAGCAGAGGACTCAGGTACTGTCCTCATTTTTTTTGCCGCTGTATTTTACTGTTTGGAGATTGTGATGCATGTCATCTGTTGTCTGTTCTTCACACCAGTCATAAGCAACATGCATACATCGCTGGCATCCCTTTGCTTTGAGAACTGTCAAAAATAGATGCAGTCATCATCCACTTCAGTGACTTCAGGGAGTAGGTTCATGCCAGCTTTTTGAAGTTGCACTGAGAGTTCAGGTGCATTCAGATCTTCCAGTATTTGTTACCATCTGTTTCATTGGCTCTCAAACTTTTAGGCTTGTGACCCCTCAGTATAGGTTACAACTCACCATGCAATGAGCAGTTCAACCACAGAGAGGTTTTTCTTTCTCAGATTAATTTATTTAAAAACAGTTTAGGAACTGGAAGTTAAAATTATTCACTATCAAAAGTATAAAGAAAATATAAAAATAAAAAATAATTTCTGTAAAATCTGATATAATACAAATATATTATATAGTGTTCTAGAAACAGGCTAGAAAATAGTGATGGAGCATTTCTGCCCAATATAAAACAGCTAAATTAGTTCCTTTATATTGGTTAAACATTGACACACATAATTTCCAAAAGCATAATGTCATTAGAGTTTCAACAAAATGGGTAATATGAATAAGTTACAACCTAGATAATGACTTTTATATGGATGTGGCATGCTTTGTTTCAAGATGTTGAAATCAAGTATTGCACTGTCCTATCCAGCTGTAACATCTTGATACAAACTCAGATTTGCAAAAGCTATTTGTTCTTTTTTCACAGTGGAGAAATAAACTGTCTCTGGTTTACTCAATCAAAACTTTATTTGTATAGCACTGTATTCATACAGGACTCGTGCAGTTCAGTGTGCCTGACAGGAGATTGGTAAAAGACGGTCATAAATGTGGCCAATAAAACAACAACAACAAAACAATGAGACTAATACACACAAAAGTCTAATGTATATAGCTCGCTATATTATTTTTAAAGGGATTTATTTATAAAAGAACTAGATAAAATGGAAAAGAGCAAATGGAAAAAGTATAAAAGGGAGTTTGTGTGTGAGTGAGGAAGTTGGCGAGAGAACTATTTCAATTGGTTTCTTGTATTAAGTACCTTCACAGTGTATATGTGTAAAGCAAAACACAATGATTTATGGTGAGCTCATATCTCCTCCACAGGTGGACATTTGGCGTGTCTCTGTGAAAGCCCAAAATGCCACGAGACCACCCGGTGCCGCGGTACCGAGTGCTTCTCCTCTGTCAAAGTTGGCAGCACTGGGGTGGAGTTTGAGCGTGGCTGCCTGGAGGGTTCAGAGCAAATCAGTTTGCAATGCTCCACTGCTCCGTCCTTCCAACAAGCCATTTACTGCTGCTCTGAGGACATGTGCAACAACAACACAAATGTGCACTCTATGATGTCTCTGCTTCCATCAGGTGGGTAGTAGCTCACGACATGCTTTATTTCATCAAGGAAGTAATCTGTCAGATAGAATAGTTGTTTTGTAGCCATCCATAAGGTTTTCTGATAAAAGACGAGACCTAATGTTGCCTTTTCTCCATTCTGCCTACTTCATATCTACTCTTACCTTCAGAAGATGAGCCAGCGGGTGAGCCAGTTCGGTATCGTGTGGAGACATTAGTTCTCTTTGTCCTTGGTCCGGTGGTGGTTCTGGCTCTGCTGACTCTAGTGTCAGTGCTGGCCTGCAGGAGGCTCCACCACGGCCGTTTGCAGAGGCTGCAAGAGTTTGACACTGAGCAGGGAGCCATAGACGGCCTCATCACGTCCAATGTGGGAGACAGCACTTTAGCAGTAAGGATATTAAGAGATTCTTGTTAAAATGACGATAAGGGATTCACAGCAGAGGAAAGAGAGATTCCATCTGACATGTTGCGCCATCTTCAGTTTGTTAGCCTGTCTGCAAGTCATTGAGAAGACTTGAAATATCTAATGATGTTATCTGAATTCATTGCAATAATTATGCTGCCTTTTATAAGTGATATTAATATTTTCTTTGGTGCACCATTTTTCCAGTTAGAAATTTAAGTATCTTTTAATTATTGTTTATTTTTCAGTGACAAACTCTGTTGCAGTTTCTCTTTGTGATGTAAATTCCCAAAAGGTAAATGGTGAAACTTGCAGGCACACTGATTCTCATCCCAAGATTTTAGTGTATTATTCATAACAACTTTGTTGTTTTTAATTTGTCAGGTCCCAAAATTTTGTGGTGCAAGATTTTTTATTTTATTTAATTTTTTTTACATGGATGACAGGAGTAACACCAGCATGCTGACTCTGAACCCTGTCTTTTAGAAACAGGAAAATGTTTCAGTTCCAGTTGATGCTGAATTCCAGTAGTTTTGCACCTACATGCAGTGTTGTGTAATTATGCAGAAAGATGGCAGGCACATCTAAACTGATATCTGTCACTGTTTCCAGGACCTCTTGGACCATTCGTGTACGTCAGGCAGTGGTTCAGGTCTGCCTTTCCTTGTCCAGAGAACTGTGGCCAGGCAGATCAGTCTGGTGGAGTGTGTAGGTAAGTTAAAGTCTTTCTGATTTTACAAATTTAGCTAGAGCCTTACTGAGGAAACTCGCGTTTTATAGCACACACAACTAAATTATACAAATCCTAAAGCAAGCTACGGTCCAGAAGAGATTTCCTGCATAGAAAGTTAATTGTCAATGATAGACTTTGTATATTCAGGGGGTCAAAAAAGAGCACATTCAACTATTTGTCGCCTACAAGCAGTGAGGACGCTGTGTCAGACGGTCTTACATCACTCACACCTGTAGACACCAGTTAAGTATTAAAGATAAGAATCTTGGTGTCAATTTACATTCTTGGCTGTTGTCGCCCATGTTGTGTCAACTTACAGCATGTAGTTTGGTTTACTTATTGTCATGGCAACTCCTGACTAATTTTAATTCAAGAATTTAAATAAAAGTATGTAGGTCACATGGGATCCTGCTTTGTGCTACAGTACCATTGTAGTACATTTGGTACCACTTTGGAACTGGGGAAAAACGCAACTTTGTGCTTTTGCTATTGTGAATCATCAGGTCTGTGTGTGACAAATCAAACTCAGATATTGTTGAGAAGCATTGCTAATAATATAATATGAAATACTCTAAAAACACTTTGTGAATTTCAAAGTACAGATGATAATTAGCTTTTTAAAATCTGTATCTGTATATTCCCTTTGATTTCCTGTTTTATCATGTCTTGCTTTTCCCTTTTTTCCAGGCAAGGGACGGTACGGAGAGGTGTGGCGTGGGCAGTGGCAGGGGGAGAATGTGGCTGTTAAAATCTTTTCCTCAAGAGATGAAAAGTCCTGGTTCAGAGAGACAGAGATCTACAATACAGTGCTCCTAAGACATGAAAACATACTGGGTGAGTCTGTTGCATACCAGTCAGTACAATGGGGAAAGGGTTGAGTGAGGCAAAACATGTTTCTTATTCCCCATTGTCTCCACTGGATTCATTCCAGTCAGACATCATGTTTTCTTACCAAGAACATAGCTGTGCTGCATCTTGTCCCTATGCTTGTTATGTCTTATGTAAGGCCCACACAGAGGATTTTATTATCTTAACCAGTTTTAAAAAGGTGAGAGACCACAGAAATAACAGCAGCTTTTTTCACATTTTAATCTTAAGAGCACACACACTAGACGACATAGTCAAGAGGCAGGACCACACGCTTGCTGTTTTTACTGAACAGTTACAGAGACGCTGATTCTGGGGATCAGGACAGAAACTTGCATAATCAAACATCACCTCAGAACAAAACAAATGTGGAGGTGGACATTCGTTTCCAAGCAGTAGGTGTGCTGTGTTTTGCGGAGAGTAACTAAAAGAGGAGGAATAAAATTGTGGATGAAGTTTTGGCTGAGAAGACTAAATCAAAACAGCTTACACATTTTGCAGAACAAGCTGGAGGTGAACTGGAAATAAAGAAAGGAGGAGGCTAGAGCAAGCTAATGCTACAAGCGGTTATGCTTCCTGGCCAGCTGGCTGTGGGAGTCTGGTTGGGATTCAATCGCCATTGCCCCCACACTACAGGATTCCAAGTTGTAAATATCAAACATGCTTGATTCAAGATCAGGGGCCATCCAATCCTGTTGGAAGCATAACATTTAGGTCTTTCAACAACTCGCACATCATGATCATTTGGCCCGAGGATTGCTTCCGAGGGGCCTCACATTGGAGATTGCCCCAACTGTTGCGAAAGGCAAATCAGCCCCTAAATCGGGCTAATTATCCTGAAGCGTGGGGCCGTCTTAAAGCAGCTGAGATTGTCTTGCTGTGGAAAAATACACATTTTGTTTACATGTAATTGAGGGTATTTTCCACTTAACTAGTTTTTTTTTTTTTTATAATTTCAACTTCCCTTGAGGGCCTTGTGTCTGGTGAATACAATGAAAATCACCTGTACAATGTATTTTAATGCAGTCCAGCAAAATTGTCCAATAATAAATGTTATCAAGGAGAAATCTGACTTGACATCGGTATAGGTTATATACATTTGACGTTTGTTTGTTCCCTTCCCTCTTTGACCTCCTGTGTCTCTTCTCTCAGGCTTCATGGCATCTGACATGACTTCTCGAAATTCCAGCACCCAGCTGTGGCTCATCACGCATTACCATGAGAACGGGTCCCTTTATGACTACTTGCAGCGAGTTGCTGTGGAGACATCAGAGGGCCTGGCGATGGCAGCGTCGATAGCATGCGGCCTCGTGCATTTGCACACAGAGATCTTCGGCACAGAGGGGAAACCGGCCATTGCACACCGAGACCTGAAGAGCAAAAACATCCTGGTCACAAAGGAGCTACGCTGCTGTATCGCAGACCTGGGTCAGTCATTTTTCTACTGCTTTATCTCTTTTAGCTGTTTTTCTTTCTTCCTGGTGCTCAGACTTCACTGCATTTCAAAAGATCCTTGTCTTTATTCTACTTTTATCTATTTTTTGCTCATTTCTGCTGCTGCACCACTTTCCGATTTCCCGATCCATGGGGGCAGGACAAGGGTCATAATCACAGAATGTGCATGCGTTAATCACGTCAAAACATTTGCGGTGTTAAAAGGAATTTGTGTTAATGCATTACTATGTTAACTTGAACACCCCTGTTTTGGAGTAATTTGTGTAATGTTTGTGCTTTGTGTGACATCAGCAGTAATCAGAGCGTTCTACTGGATTGTTAATTTTACTTGTTAGTCCGTCACCAGCTTCATACTAAAGGCTGCATTTTGTACAGTTGTACCAGGTATCCATAGTTTACACAATCACTAGGAAAGAGGACATGATATGAGGGGCAAAAGCGGTTAGGAGCGGTTTATGGTGTCCGTGCGATTTCTCAGTCATCCAAGTCATAGTATGCTGAAAAAAGAAGGCATCTGGTCCATTATGGTAACTCCTCCTGTGTCTAACCCTTGCATGGTATGTATTCCTGTCAGGAGGTTTTTGAAAGCCCCAATACAAAACTATATTTCTTGTATTTTACAGGGTTGGCTGTGACTCACTCCCAGGCAGACAACCTACTGGATGTGGGCAACAATCCAAAAGTTGGCACCAAGCGCTACATGGCCCCTGAAGTGCTGGATGAGACCATTCAGACAGACTGCTTTGATGCCTACAAGAGAGTGGACATCTGGGCCTTTGGGCTGGTGCTGTGGGAGATAGCGAGACGCACATACAGCAACGGTGAGTGTTTAAACATCAGCTTGATAAGATTCAGTAGGAGTATGTACTTTTGGCTCTAGGCTTCAAAGTTGGATTTTATTTTCTTCAAATTTGTCTCATCTGAATTTTTTTTTTTTCCCCAGGCATTGTCGAGGAGTATAAGCCTCCCTTTTATGATCAGGTGCCAAACGACCCCAGCTTTGAGGACATGAGAAAGGTGGTGTGTGTGGAGCAGCAGAGACCTTTCATTCCCAATCGTTGGTTCTCTGATCCTGTGAGTAATAATCTTTTATTACACTTCACTTGCCCAGAAATGATCATTTACAATTCCTCTGTGAAGTCAAAATGTAGGTCAGCTACAGAAAACTGCTGGTGGTTGAAACAGTCCTTAAAGATTTCAGTGCCTGATGACTAACCAGAGGTACAGAAAAGTGAATGGCTAAACTGTTTTAGGTGTGTGGGGTTCTGTGCAACCTAGTATTTATGGACAGACTGTGTGCAGCCTGAAGGTTATGACCCCTAAATGGGTTAGAAGGACAAATCTGAGGGGTCATAGGGTCAGAAGAGAATCAAACCTTTCTTTTATATACTAGGCATTTGCATGAATAATCAGTCAAAAAAAGCCAATGTCATTGAATACTGGGGGAAATATATATTTTTTGAGACATTTGTGTGTCATAAAGAAGCAGAAATAGGTTTTCCAGTTTCAGGCTTTAAAAATGATCCACACATTATAAGAGTTTCACAGACTTATAGATGTTGTTCACCCTGCCTTGTTATGAAAACCAAAGACAAGCTTCACTCATTTAAACATTTGGATATTAGGGATACATCTGTTTTGTACCGCTGTGACTGTAAAATGCTAAACAGCAATAGGAAGAGACAACTACGCAGCTAATACCAAGAGTATCATTCCAAGAGCTTTTAGATTTCCAGTCACATCGATCGCAGAGTGTATCACTGCTCATCCACTTCACCATCTGCTTCCTTTTTTCTCTTTGTCAGACTCTCTCTGCTTTGGTGAAACTGATGAAGGAGTGCTGGTACCAGAACCCATCTGCCAGGCTAACAGCGTTGCGCATCAAGAAGACACTAGACAAGATTTACAGCTCTTTGGAAAAGGGCAAGGAGTCATGAGAGGTTGAGGAGCTTCAGAGGCAGCTGCCTGATGTCAGGGATTGGCTTAGAGAAGAACCCTGTGTTAGGTGAGAAAAGGTGATCAGTGGATTAACAGAGGCCTGGAGGAAAGAGTTGTAGTCATCTAGACTCACCTCCCTCGTGCTCTTCTTTCCCTTCCTTTCTCTGTGGTTGGCTTTAAGCCCACACAGACGTTTGGACTTGGCTTGTTTGACTAAACCAGACTTTGCTAGGGGACACAAACCTGTTGCCAATGTGTTCACGCTGACCCAAACTATGGACTGAGTGCAAAGAACATGGATGACACAGTGTAGTGCCCCATCCTTAGCCCCCATTTAAGGCTTCTCTTTTTTCCCCCCCCCCCCCACCCCACACTACACACTATATATGCTACAATATCTGATCCCCAGCTAGTGTTTCTGGCCTGTGGTTGTTGCATTCTGCTCAGAGACAATCAGAAATGATTCATTTAACTTTATTACGACATACAAGAGCGCACTGTATTCACCAAAGGGGGAAAATATGGAGAATCTCATCTCTTACTATGTCATAATTATGAGCTAGTAATTCAAATTGACTTTTTTTTTCCCCCTTTGGTGAATGCAATGCGCTTACGTATGAACATGCCAACTGTTGACACACAGTACAAAACACGTTTACGTACAAAAGGAGAAGAGCCACCAGAATCAAAATTGCTTTTAAACTTTATAAAAAATAGTATATTTACGTATTAAACCTCCACTGATACCGTACTGAGGATATGTAAGATTGATGTAAGATGGTGCGCGAGACTGACTCTATACATGTATAGGCATTTACTCTACTGAACTTATTACCCATATTGTCGTTGCTGGAGCTAGTAGGAAATGATTTGTTGAGAAATAATGGAAAAGTTAGGAAAATGTTCGCATTAAGCTTGTTTTCTTGTACGTTACAGACAGGATAAAACACAGATAATAGATGTGGTTCCTGGAGTAGACGCACAGTTAAGTACCTGCCAATAGGAATTACTCTACATCTTATAGGAATATGAAATGAAGTGATCCTCTCTGCCTGGCACATTTATAAACTCACTGTGGCTAATTTAAAAAAAGTCTTCTGTGCAAGCAGAGAGGAATTTTTTTTTAAGATACTGGAGGTGAAGTCTTTCTGTAGCAAGCCATCATGCCATACTGTTTGAGTTGCCTGAATACTGGGGAAAACCCCCCCCCCAAAACATTTCATCTTCATTTGGAAACAGTTTTATTCACTATCCATTTGAAAACTCATACAGTTGTCTAGGTGTGCGGTTACAAATGAATTTGTTTACAAATGCTGGGGTTGTTCTGGAATAAAATGTTGCTTTGTCTTTTTTGTATGTAATAAAACAGTTACTGCACTCTTATCTACTGATTAGCCAGCTTGCGTTATGATTTAGGAAAAGATGCTTTTTAAGTAAATATTTAAAGGATAAGTCTGACTTGAAACTATATTCCGATGTCGATATGAACACAGATTTTCGTTGCTGTAAGTATTCTTACTGTTCATACTAGCCAACCGATTCTTGCCCTATTGTACTTTCAGTGTAAGTGATGGGAGATCATATACAATTACATACTGTACTGCCTTGATCAGACTTGCCTTGCAGTCCCTGTAGTTGACCCAGTTCGAGGTCAGATCATGTCTGAACCACAAATGAACCAGGGTTCGATTCAGCTGGACTAAACAAGGCAGGTGTGAAAGTGTCCTATAAGAGTGAAATTTGTGCTTGCAAAGACTGCAGGCTTCTGACACATTTGATTTGTTTAACTCAGTCTGCTGAAGCATTATGTTACTGTAACTTAAACTTCTGAATAGTCTCTCAAAACAAGAACTGGATTTTTGTCCATCACTTACATTGGCAGTGCACTAAGAAGGGTTGTTTAGTCATGAAGGGGAGAAACAATTACAAGTGAAAGCCATTTCAGTGATAATATCGGCACCTGTCTATTGTTTTAATGCTACCTGCTGAGAGAGGTACAACATGAATGCTACAGCAAGGGGGAGCCAGGATGACAGGTCAGGGGGGAGATTAGATAACAGGCCCATCAGGAAGAAGGAACATGAGAAGTTACCAAGGGCTGAATGAAGCACTTAACTTTTAGCCTATATTTGTTTACATTTTGGAACACTAAGTATGCAGAATTACCTAAATACTGTAGAAATCTTAAAGATTTGTGTTTCTCAAGCAGATTCTGAATCTGCAATACATTTATAGTGAGTTACACTAGGCAGCACATTTGAAGCCCCTTTTAGGTTACATTTGTTTATGCCGAATTAGTTCACTTTGTACAGGTATGCCTTTCTCTTTTCTACTCATGTTGCCAGCCTGCTGGTTTCAGGAGGACCCCATCACCTACCCACAGCATCTATCCCTAGTCTTAGCCCTTATAGTTTACCTGTGTGAAAAGCGAATCTTCTTCTTTGTGGTCTTCTCCATCTTTGGTTGTGGGGGAGGATGACATCTTCCCACTTTCCCCTGGCGTCCTGGCTGACGTACCGGCTTCCCCTGCTGTAGGGTTCATGGTGTACCTCGCTCAGCAAATAGCACTAAGGGCCTTGCTGAAGGACCCACGACTGGCCGTACCACAGTCTCTACATGGACATCTGGCCTATTTGAGGTTATCTGGTAAAGTCTTGTATGGGTTGAGAATGCCTTTGGGGTCCATCATGGCCTTGATGTCACCCATCATAGCCACAACCTGGCTGGGTTTACTGTAGTAAATGTAGTTCCTTTTCTTCAGGCCCAGCCCATGCTCAGCACTGATGCTGCCCTTACAGCTGGCCGTCCACTCGTAGACAAACGGCTCGATGGCAGCAAGGAGAGCAGGGTCTTTGACAGGAGAGGTGATGTTCAAGTGGAGGTTACCATCACCTTTGGGATGAGACGGAAAGAGATGAGGGGTGAAAAGTGAAAGTTAAAATTATATTTACTCTTAAAAGATAAGGCCAGCCATTTTCTATCTTAACATTTTCAACACTAAAACCCAACAGTGATTTGCCTCTCCTAACAATTTGTCTATCAAACTATCAGAACTGGATTAGTCTGTGACACAGACCTCCATTACTGTTCAGGGAAACACATTGCTGCACTGGGTGATACATTTCTTCATCAAAACACCAAACCCTGATATTTTTTTAAAGTGTTGCCGTAAAGGCTCCGAAGAGTCATAACTCATTACAGCATCTGGAGTAAGCAAGAGTCAACGGCCTGTGTAGGAGACCTCTGGATATTAACAAATATTAGGGTCTTGTGTTCTGTAGCAAGTAAATCTGTAAACCGGTGCAGCAGTGTGTTTCCCTGATGTGTTTTTAAACAATGGAGGTCTGCAGCACCGATGAATGAGCCACTCCAGGACTGACAGACACTAATCATGAGCAGAGGCAAATCATTGTTGGTTTCACTCTCTGTATGAGGAGTGAAAACACTGTTAGTATAGACTGGCTTATCCTTTTACATTTTGCATATGCAATAGCAATCTTATGCTAGCAGGGCCATGATTTCCCTCCTGATGGACTGCTTTCACGTCTGTCTCTTGGGGCCTTACCTACATGTCCGTATCCCACCACACTCTTGGCCCGGCCCCCCAGGTGCTCCCTCATGTCTGTCACCAGCTGGTAGATCCGCTCCACTGGAATTGAGATGTCATACTTGTAGACGAAGCCGTCATGAATCAGCGCCTCCGTGATACGTTCACGCATCGACCACAGAGCCTTCACACAGGGTGACATGGAAAGGCTGAACGCATCATCATCATCATCTCCTACATTACACTGCAGCTATACCAGCATTTTGTACTTAATTGAGGTTAAATATAGGCGCAGCTTGACTCCGAGTTCACACAATTAATAAACCCTTGTAGGAGGTTGATTATCTAAGTTTTGATTTAAAGTAGGGATGGGCATTAGAATTATTTTTTGGGGTTGAATATCAAACCAGTTTAAGTCAGTTATTCAATTAGTCGTGACATATCTCTGGCCTGCTCTTCACTGAAACTGTGTGTGTAGCACACAGGCAGAAGCAGTGTTATAAACCTTAATTCCTCCTCTCTACAACTTAGTATTAAATGATGGTGACCTTTTCGACTAACTGAATATTCATGCACATCCCTAGTTAAAAGCTTAAAAGAATAAGTCAGGTGATATTCTGTATTTTTGATACTGTCGACAAATAAAACCCACAAAAAGACCAAAACCAACGATGTGTTAATTTGACCCTCAGTATTTCCCGACTTCCCTTTCATGTATGTGGCACTCAGCCGTGAACATATTTGTTCTACAGAGGATATAAAACCAGTTGCATATATTTAATGTCACTAACAAAAATAAGCTGTACTCAGTGTGTCTGTGCTGTGCATGTGCTGTATGTTTGGCTTTAACATAGTCTTCATTTGATGACAATCTAAACAAGTTTGTAATTTTCATCTTATTTTTAGGGTGAGTTTTTAATACCTGTCCTGGGACTACAATAAAAAAAACTGCCATTTGTCTAACTCTGGTGCACATACGGCTTTAACTTTATCTGTTAAACAAACCAATACACTTTGCTGGGAACTACTTTGCTGCAGATTCTGACTTTGCAGAATGTTTTTACACAGTATGTGCAATCAACTCAAACTAGAGTGCCTGTATTCATAGTGATGAAGGAACACTGCTTTTAATGCTCAGAGCTCTGTGGCACAGAAGAATGAACTTTATCACACTGTGGTTACACAGAAACACAGTTTGCTTTTGGTCTTCTCAGCGGTTTTGGTTGAAAATAAGTAAAATATAAAATATCACCACACTCTGAAAGATTAGAGACAATACCTTGATTTTTGTGTCTTCAGTTGCAACAGTCCCATCAGTAACCAATGAAGACGTCATGGCCTCCTCTAGAAATTCGTGAAGTTTCTCCCCGTCATGTGTCGGGTTTGAGCCTGATGTTTCTATGACAACGTAGAAAGGACAATCTGCAGAAAGGAAGGAAAGGGTTGATATGTGTGCATTAGCTTTTAAGAGTACTGTAATCCTGTTTTAAATGAATATTACAAATGAAGTGTATTAAAGCTACAATATGTAACTTAAGGTAGGGCTAAGACGAAACTCGAAATAATTCCACTCTGCTCCGCCCAGCACTCCCTCTCCCTGCTCCACTAGGCTCTTCTATGCTATGTTATCATTATCAGTCATTTTCTTGTGATACACCAGTAACTGACACATCATAGGAGGTTCTCATATCTCATTACAACCACACTCAAGTGTGTCATTAACAAAGTAGCAAGTGTTGTATATTATATACTGCTTTTAAATGTTAAATAATAGGGGTTAAGTGAGGCGTTTGTGAATATGGTTCAGTTCCTACCAGAGATGGGATTGGGTAGTTTGAGGTGTGTATTCAGCAGTCTCATACATTCACTGTCCAGAAACTCAAAGGCTGACAGGATTTCTCCCAGCATGCCTCTGCAGAGCTTAAATGTCTTCAGCAGCTGCTCAAAGTTCTCACAGCCTAAAAAACAACAGAATGATCAACCAGTAGAATTTAGCAGCTAATCGCAGCTAACAAACTCAGCCAGATGTGAGGAAGGAAATCCTACCAAGGAAAACCACATTAACAGATTTGGGTTTCCGTGGACAAAGGATGGACACTGCTGTAATGACCCCCAGTGTGCCCTCTGACCCTATGAAGAGTTGTTTAAGGTCATATCCAGTATTATCTTTCCGCAGCATGGCCAAGCAGTCCAGCACTTGCCCATCTGCCAACACCTGTGTACGTTACATGCAGACATAAACAAAAGCATTAAATCAGTCTATACTTTAATATCAGAACCACATTCTCCATCAACCTGTTTGGCTCTAAAGGGGCAGGTCACAAATTAAATCTAAGGAGGGTCACAAGATGATAAAAAATATGAAGGAGAAAAAAAACTTACACAAAATTATATTTTAGACTTTTTGTTTGTTTCTTGTATATACTATATGTGATAATTTAATCTACTAGCCTGAATAAACTTCAGATGAAAGAATATGAAAATAAATAAATATGTGTTCTTGCAATTTACCACTTCCAGACCCAGCACAGTCCCACGTAAGGAGCCATATCGCAGCAGCCGGAGCCCACCTGCATTAGTTGCCACATTACCCCCAATTTGACAGCTGCCTTTTGCTCCAAGATCCAGTGGCATGATGTAGTCTCTTTCCTCCAGGTAGAGGGACAAATTCTCCAGAACACAACCTGCCTGGCAAGTCAGAATACCTGGCAAAGAGAGAAAAGGGGAAAGGGAATCCAAACGCTGTAAATCCACTGATTAGAATAAAATAATCTGGAACGCATAGCTCTTTTCTGTAAAATATCAACTAATCTGTAGGAAATATCTGTATTTTAGGACTTACCAGAGATACTATCGAAGGAAAGGATTTTGTTCATGAGGGCAGTGGAGAGGATTATCTCATCATAAACTGGGACACTACCCCCAACCAGCCCAGTGTTGCCTCCTTGAGGGTTCACTGCCAGGTTACGACCGTTACAGTATCTACAGGGGAGGAAATAAAACGACTTAAACGCCTGATAAACAACTTGTGTGTCAATCTAGCTTTCATACCACCATTTGTTCTTTACCTGAGAATTTGAGAAACTTCTTCTCTTGTTTGAGGTCTCAACAATACTTCACTGGAACCTGAAGAAGAAATGTGTAAATGTTAATTCACTGGTATAATCACAAGGTGGAATTAGCTGAATTCAATTCCAGACATCACCTCGCACTGATTTGAGCCAGTCCACATTACTTGACTCTAGCAGGTCTGGGTCAGTGACAGTTCTGCCTGGTAAAATCTTGCTGAAGAAGGCCAAATCTTCCTGAGTTACTGTAGAGAAAGGCAGTCTATCAGGGGCTGCAGCAGGGGATGGCTTGGGTCCATCTGCTTCAACGTGCAGCTTTCGAGAGCAGGCTCCAAACTGCCATGAGCAGCTTTGGAGAAATGAACTACAGAAGATTACAGGTGAAAGTCTAGTTGTGGCTGTAGATGAGAAAGTGACATGGAGTCTCAGATATTCCAGAGATGTCCTCAGTATTAGTGTTTTGAGGAAAATCCTCGCCATTACTGTAAAGATGTTGAGGCTGCAAATCTGGCTGCAGAAAAGAAGTGGGATGAATAACAACTTTTGTTACCCAGGACAGAAGCTGGTGCACTTTTCAAATGCTAATCTAATTCTTATAAGCTACAAATTTAACAAATGAGTAGACAATGTATTTGTTAGTCAGCAAACCACAGATGCAAGTAATCTTGAAGTACCATCCTGCATTATAGAATATTAATCTATAGAACACCACATACCAAATATTTAGATAAAAAAAAACTCGTGTCCAGAAATACAAAGGATGTCATAAATTCCTATAGAAAGCTTTTTCAGTGGCTCAATTTAACCTTCTTGACTGATGTGACATGAATTTCTCACCTTTATTTTTAGTGCATGGATTTTACAACCCAATTTCTTTTTATACACTGAACACTTACATTTTGTGTAAATCGTAGTTCTTGCAAAGCAACTTTTTGAGGGAGACTTTAACCACATTTTCAGTTGCTTTTCAGGTTAAAATATCAGCATTATAAATTCTGGGTTCAGTTGAGACTACATTTCTCAGCAGATGTCTGAACAAACGGAACCATCAGATCTTTTTTCCTCTTACATATGTAAACACTTTCTCTATATCTACGTGCATGTGTGTTTGATTCTACTTTTATGACATTTCAGGATATTTTCAGTCATCTTAAAAGCTGCATTGGAATCACAAGTCTCTGGCAACTTTCACCTCCTGGGATAATTCTATAATAACTTTTATTTCCCTCAATGTTGAGCAGCTGAATACAGTTTCTACATCGTACAAGCAGTGATGTCCCATCAAGCGTCCTTGGTCTGAAGGTCGCAATAAAGGTTTACAAGTTGCTTCTCTGGGTACGAGGCAATGCGAACTGACGAAGCTTTTCGAATATCATCTCACCCTACATTTGTTTTTACACACACAATTTCACTCCAGTTACCTGGCAATTTCTAGATGAACATTCCGTGCACCCATGAATCAATTATTGCCTGCACCTGCGGAACCAAGCTCTGCCCTTAGCTCGATTAGCGCAGTTTGACAAAACGTTAACAAGCAATATCTTATTTACTCACCGTAAACGCTCATTTAACGTCCCACATCTTTCTCTCTGTGTTCTTTTTAGTTTATTTGTCGGTCTGACAAATAATACGACTAGCACTAGCAAGACTAGAAGGCTTCTGACATTAACTGGGGTAAAAGGTCACGAGGAAGAAACTAAACCAATCAAAAGCCGCCTTTTATCTTGACCCAATGGGCGTGGATGTTTCATTGTCTGAACAGCCAATGGCGACTGAGGTAAATAAAGTCAACACAAATCAGGTTGCAGAGTGGAAAAATTAATCATTCAATGTCAACAGGCATAACCACGATTCCTGGGCTTGCAGACCAACGTTTGCTTGTTTTACTTTTTCCCTTGGCGGTTTATTTTGAATAGCTGTAAATTAATTGGAATTTAGGAGTTTAAAATTAAACTGAAAATGCTTGTTTTTTTATTGCTTTAAAATGGCTGGCATACCTGCTGCAAAATAAAAATATGCAGACAATACTCAGCACACATTCAGTATAAAATGTGTTGTAGGAAACTGCTTGACAGTACAGGATTAAGATTTAGTGCAGAATATATATATATTTTTAAATAGCTTTACTTCTATTTGCTATTTTTGAAATTTTAGCATAGACCACCTCTAAATGACAACATACTAAATAATTGACCAACAATTAATAAGATTTGAGATGAACATTAACAAATACACTGTGCAGATTTAACTTGTTAGGACTTTACTAACTTAAGTGCTTTTATAATTGGTGCACTATGTAAGGCTATTTGAAACTTTTGGCAGGGTTTGTAAAGGTTATGAGTTAGGACAACAGTCACACAGAATGAATAACAAATGAATTTACTTTAAACTCAAGACAATCTTTGATTCCTCATGCATTGTGTAAAGTACACAGCATGCAACAGAATGTTTTCATTTTTAAATTCTTCACAGTAGCAGCCTACAGCACCAATAATGCCATAGCTTTAAATACTAAAATAAAACCAATTTTAATTATTATACTTGCACAGTTGACACTGTAAATTCCCTGAATACAACTTAAAGTTCACTTGATGTTCAACATAACAGTCTTCTGTGTTCAGGGAAATCACATGAAGGATAACAACAGTGGAATACTATTAATCCAGTCGGGATTTAGAAACTATTTCAGGCAATGGCAATACTTTGAGGAGTCAACACCGAGCAGATCCGGTCTGAACTGAGGAGAACCAACTACAACACCGGTACAGTGTCAATTCACCAAACCAAAAGAATACAGTTGTCTTCTCAGGACGTGTACATGTTCCTCCCAGATACCATCTTTTCTGTGACTCTGGAGAAGAAGAGACTGTTCACCTGCCATTCTTACTGCATGAGCTGTCTGGGTATGTACAGTGTGCAGTTATTTTCTCATGCTTCCAACTTAAGATGTGACCACTGTCATGGCTAACAAAACACATATACCCAAAGTGATGATTACATTTCATTCACAAAATAACTAAAATGAGTAATGAGTATGGGAATATACAGGTGTTTTTAGGCTTAGCACCTTTTCTCCAAATGTAACCATTTCAATTTTAAAGAGTGACAGCTCAGTTTCAGCTTTAAGAGCTTTTATGGTCAAACCTCAAATGCACCTTGTAATAAATGCACACAGTTTTGAACTAAAAGCTTAAGATGAGGAGGTTTTAGAACACCCAATACCGTCCCTGGGTCTGGTTTTAAACCCTAATCTGCATTTACTATATATCCAAATAGGAGGAGTTTATTTCTGCACATAATCTCATGGCAATCCATTCAGAAGTTGCTGAGATATAGTGGAGTGACTGGCATCGCCATCCTAACATGGCTAAACAAATAAAACTGTAGTTCATTTAAACAGAACCATCACTGAAATTGCTGACCATAAGATTTAACTACCGTTCATTCAATGCTGGAACACCAAACGACCAAACCCCACTTTTGGTGAGTCAGGGCTCTAAGTGCCTTGGTGGTATCATGTCACTGCAGCAGCAGTTCATTTTCAAAAGAAATGCTCTCATCATGTAAGAAAAGATCTCATGTTACAGTGCTGCCTTTTCCCACCGTACCACTAATGCTCCTCATAAAGGGCTCCCAACCTCACCGATATCACATTTAACCATGACCATCCAAATCAGCTGGATGGCATTCAGCTCAGCAGTGTGAACCTCCTTTGCCTCAGGGTGTTTTTTGTCTTCATTCATCTCAGAGCTTGGCTCCTTAGTTGGGAAACGAATGGTCCACACTGAGCTGTTGTTGGTCGTATTCTGATATGAGCTTCTTGATGTGGGCCAGTTTGTTGTGCAGATATTCACAGCGACTTTTGTCCTGATTGTAGTTGGGGTTGGACTAAAGAGACAAAAAAAACAAAAAACATTATGTATTAGAAAAAGCTGAGTGGAAATGTCAAATGCAGTAATCTTGAGATAAATATTGGCAAGCTTTAAAAAGTTACCTTTTTAATTTTGCGATATTTTTGAAGAATTTGATTATGAACCGTCTGCAAAAGAGAAATACAAAAATAATTAATACATACATGGAGACATCTGAATCATTTCAATCAAGTTGGTTAAAGCCTGCTAAATGTCATAATACTAGGAAAACGTGACCATTTGTCATGATATTCCCAATAATATGACGTAAAACAAATCTAATCAAAACAAACCACCAAACTTAAAATTGTCTACAAACATTTGTCAAACCATTTGAACATATGGCTAAATGTTCTACCAGTTTCAGGAGGGTAACATGGTACAGATAAGTATTTATGTAGCCACACTTAAAAAAAAAAAAAAAAAAAAAAAAAAAAACACAAAAATATCACATT